TCATCCAGTTAGCATTTAAAAAAAAATTGCCCCAAATTTTACCACCAATGTGAACAAACAAAATACACTTATATTTTTCATATTGTGAGGCAGATCTTTAACTGGATCAAAAAAATTCACACGTCCTATGAAACAAAGTTTGGGGCACCAAAACCTGCTTAACTTAACCGACCTGCTCAGTCGGTTAAGCATCTGCCTTTGGCTCAGGTCACGATCCCAGGGTCATGGGATTGAGCCCTGCATCAGGCTCCCTACTCAGTGGAGAGCCTGCTTCTCCCTCTCCCTCTGCCCTTCCCCTTGACTTGCATGCTCTCTGTCTCTTTCAAATACAGAAAATCTCTTTTAAAAAGATACAAAGTTTTGCTATTTTCAAATTAGAAAGGTTGCATTTTTACATGGGTCCCTCCTCAGCAGGGAGTCTGTTTCATCCTCTCCCTCTGCTCCTCCCCCCAGCTCACATGCTCTAATAAATAGATAAAAATTCTTAAAAAAATAGTAGTGGAAAAAGTGGACACATGAATGAACAGATGGAAAATGTCAAATGAGAGAGAGAAATTAGAGAAAAGCCAAATGGAAATGTTAGAAATTAAGTATGGTAGGGGACCTAAAGAATTCTTGTGATGTGATTATCAGCAGAAAAGACACCAATGACAAAGAATCAATAAATTTGAATACACATCAACAGAAATTATCCACACTATATCACAAAGAGAAAAAGAGAGGAAAAAATAGAGAATACAGTATCTACAAGACAATATCTAATGGCCTAATATACATGTAATTGGAATCACAGCAGAAGGAGAGACAGGAAATAGTGTAGAAGAAACACTCAAAGAGACAATGCACAAGACTTTTCCAAAACTGATGAAAGACATCCACCCATAGATTTAAGATCAGTGAACCCCAAGCAGGGATAACTGCAAAGAAAATCTTACTGATGTACATCCTAGTCAAAGTGTTTAAAATCAAAGATATTTTTCCAATCTACATATAATACTTTAAACAAGATTAGAATTACTATCCAACTTTGTGGTCTGGTTCTTTTCAATTAACACTGTCCTATATCATTAAGAATCCTTTAAGACCCCAATTTCTGTTGTTTATACTTCATTGCCTTTAAAAAAAGCTGGTGAAAAAAAAGCTCCGTGGGAAGCCTGCTTCTCCCACTCCTCCTGCTTGTGTTCCCTCTCTCACTGTGTCTCTCTGTCAAAAAAATAAATAAATCTTTAAAAAAATAAATAAATAAAATAAAGTAAGCTTGTGAACTTCTGTCTGTTCATTGAGTAGGGCAAATCTTCTATTTATTAAATTTTTGACTGCTTATCAATTACTAGGAAGTTGTGTTAAAATCTTCCATTACAATTAAGAATTTATTCTTTTAGTTGTGTCCATTTTTTATTTCAAAGCTATATTACTAGCTGTATACAAATTTTAAATTATTCTATCTTCCTGTTAAAATGAATATCTGTCATTATAATGTGACCCTCTTTGTCTCTGGTAATGTTTGACGCCTTAAAGTCCATTTAATCTGATACTAATATAGCTAATATTTGCATATTTTCCCCATCAATTTATTGTTTACCTTTCTGTATCCTTATGTTTTAGATGTATCTCTTATAAATAAACTAAACAGTAGTAGGATTATTAGTCTTTTTTAAAAAAAATTTTGTTGGGGTGCCTGGGTGGTTCAGTTGTTAAGCATCTGCCTTCGGCTCAGATCATGATCCCAGGGTCCTGGGATCGAGCCCCGCATCGGGCTCCCTGCTCAGTGGAGAGCCTGCTTCTCCCTCTCCCTCTGCCTGCTGCTCTGCCTACTTGTGCTCTCTCTATCTCTCTGTCAAATAAATAAAATCTTTAAAAAAGAAAAAAAAATTTTGTTGACATGTAATTCACATAGCATACAATTCATTAATTTAAAGTGTATAATTCAGGGTGCCTGGGTGGCTCAGTCGGGCAAGCGTCTGGTCGATTTTGGTTCAGGTCGTGATCTCAGGGTTGTGAGATCGAGACTCACGTCAGGCTCTGTGGGGGTGTGGAGCCTGCTTAAGATTCTCTTGATTCTCCCTCTCTTTCCGCCACACCCTTCTCCCTCCCCCCTCTAAAAAATAAAAATTAAAAATTAAATAAAAAAATAAAGTATATAATTCAACGGTTTTTGGAATATTACATTACTAATTTTTAGAAATAGTGATAAATATATAAGACATAAAACTTGCCTTTTTAACCACTCATAATTGTACAAGGGAGTGGCATCAATTACATTTACAACACTGTGCAATCATTATCACTACCTGTTTTCAAAACATTTTTATCACTCCATGAGAAACTCTGTAACTATTAAAAAATAACTCCCTATTCTCCCCTTCTCCTAGGCCCTGGACCTCAAATCTACTTTCTGTCTCTATGAATTTGCCTACTCGTGATATTTCATATAAGTGGAATCATATAATATTTGTTCTTTTGTGTCTGGTTTATTTCATTTAGCTAGCATGTTTTCAAGGTTCATCCATGTTGTAGCATGTAGGCTATCTTTTCACTTTCTTGATAATGTGTTTTAAGGAACAAAAGCTTTTAATTTTGATGATATCCAATTTATCCATTTTTTCTTTTGTTGCTTGAATTTTGGTGTTATATGTAAGAATTCACTGCTAAATCCAAGGTTATGAAGATATACTCCATGTTTTTTTCTAAAAGTTCTATGGTTTTAGCTTTTCATATTTAGGTTACCGATCCATTTTGAGTTAATTTTTGTATATGGTATGAGATAGGTGGTCAACTCCATTCTTTTGCATGCGTATGCTCATGTTTTAAAAATCTTAATCCAATTATCTTTGTCTTTTAACTGGAGTGCTTAATCCATTTACATTAAAGATAATTAGTGATATCTTTGTGTTTATTTCTATGATCTTATTTTAGACAATTTGCTCTTGCCCATCTGTTTTCTGGGCAGCAGAAAGGCAGTGGAGTATTTTTCCAACCCTACCAATTATTTAGTTGTGATGTCTTATATTTTTAATCCCTTTTTTAAGCCCCATGAAAAACTACTATGAGCAAAAGTGTGGACAAAGAGAACTTTCATATACTTTTGCTTGTAGACCAAATTGGCACAACTTATTTGGAAACAGTTTAACGTTATTTACTAGAGCTGAAAATACATATATACAATGACTAAGCAATTCTACTCCTAGTTATATACTTTGAAGAATTTCATGCACATGTGAATCAGGACATATGTTCAAGCATGTTCATAACTGGGGCGCCTGGGTGGCTCAGTCGTTAAGCGTCTGCCTTCGGCTCAGGTCATGGTCTCAGGGTCCTGGGATCGAGCCCCGCATCGGGCTCCCTGCTCAGTGGGAAGCCTGCTTCTCCCTCTCCCACTCCCCCTGCTTGTGTTCCCTCTCTCGCTGTGTCTCTCTCTGTCAAATAAA